TTGATTGTAGTTTAATATTTACATTTTCATTTATAGTATCAATTATTTATTGTTTATCAGTGATAATATAAAACAGAATCAGACAAATTTTAATATTGTTTTATAATATTATTATTATAATAATGATTGATTATTATAATATATATTGTTTTAATAATATGTATCGATGTATTATCAGGCATTCATTCAAAGTAAGATGTTCAATCGTTCAGCTATATATATAAAATTGGTTTACCAATAATATTTGCGCTTTTGTTCATAAGCTCAGCACTGCTGCTTTTACATAGAGCTACAACTTTGTGGTACACACAGACAGAATATTTTGATAAGAAACAGCGAAAAAAGCTGGGTAATTTTTTTCCATAAGCGCCACCTACTATCATTAAGTGAATCTGTATTTTAATTTAGCCCATCTGCCATTTTTTCCCCACATAGGTCTGAACAGAAAAACTTCATGAGAAAATTGGACCATATTTTTGTGCCAAACATTTATTAGCGTGAACAGAATTTCAGAACTAGCCTTTGAGTTTAAGTCAAGACCAAACCCTCCAAGATCCAGACCAAGACCCTTAAGACCTAGACCTGGACCTAAACTCAGACCAAGACCTGTCCATTTCAACAAACTTATTCAGAAAAACACTGAATGTTTTAATAATATGTATCCCTACTGTTATTTGCATAGTTCTTACAAATCTTTGTCTAATGTCACTGTTTAGCCTTGTCCTAAAGAATCTAATGTTTTATTAAAATGCTTCAGTTAAGTATGATGTGTAGTATTAGTATTTGGGCATAAAACTACCCTGCTTAAGGTTGTAGCTGGTTTTTGTGTGGTTGCTATTTGATGTAGAATAGTGCAGTCTAACTTGGTGAAGATTGTTTAGGTCTGGTAGTCCAATTTGGACCAGCAAAAAAACAGCTACCATGTACCAAATACCAGCTTGACCACTTTAAGCTTGTATGACTTGATTTTATATAGGTATAGGCTTAAAAGGTGACAAAGCTTGCACAAAAGATGACATGGCACTGAATTTTTGCAGCACTAGTGGATACAGCACCTGGAGCGTGTGTGTAGTACCTGGGTAGAGTGCCCTGCTGATCATGCCAGGTAGGATGATGAAGATCATGGGAAGCATCTTGAGATAGCTAGCAAAGATGGACGCCCCTTTGGCGTGACTCAGATTCTTGGCTGAGAGAGACCTCTGCACGATTACCTGCCAAGTTACAGATCAACCAACATTATTTTTTTGTTTACTGAATTCTTTTTGAAAAATTCATCAGAACAGTTTATAGTTTGTTGTTGTACCATGTGAAATCATGCCTCAAGGCTTTTTATCCTTTTTCTTTCTCACATACACCCTTCCTCCCTTTCAGCTTTACCAGATGGTCTCCAGGTCACCTGTTCGAGATGCTTATGGCCGGGCCAAAGTGGTGATTGGTAAACATGGAGTATTCTATAGACTCCCTAAAAGCAGCGGCCATGTGATCGGGGGCCACAGGTACTGGCAGGGGAAAATGAATGCTGACTTCCCCTCAAATGGATCAGGCCAGCAAAATCTAAAACGCTCTGGCCGGTCCCCTAGAAGACAAAGCTCCACCTATACGATAGTAGGACTGCGAATCAGTCAAACTCCCACTCAGCGGCTCATGCACTCTCAATCTCTCTCTCCCGCTCATCGGGCCTCTCAAACAAAGTCTCCATCCCCTCATAGACGGGTCGAGACTCGTACACCATTAGGGATCTCTTTATCTAAACTCACCAGCGTCAAACACCTCAGGGGGAAGGTTCCAGTGAGCACGTCTGGTTTTGCTTTGGGGGATAAATTGTTGACACAGAGGCACAATGAAAATTAACTGATTTATGGTGGCTTTCTTCTCAGAAAACAAACAAAAAAAAACAACTACTTTGTATTGAGTACAAAGGCATGAATGTGCAATGATGTAGCAAATACTTTTCAACTGGAGTTCAACTGGATCTTTAAACTGACACGAGTGTTACAGTTGCAAACAAACACTGACATTTTCTGGACTGTGACAAGCAAAACTAGCAGCTTTACTCTTTATTGACATGCCTTTGAGTAATATGGACTAGTGCAAGAATTTGGTGGTGGATTTGTGACCACGGTGATGGCGATTTCACATTCACCTCTGTTGTCTGAGCTTGTAGGAAAAGGACGTTGAAAATGTTAAGGTATAGTACAAACTGACAGTGAGTTCATTTTCAACGTCTGCATTTGTTCCTGGTTTTATCAGAGGAGATCTGCAATTTGCATTGCATCGCAAAAAAAAAAAAAAAAAAATATATATATATATATTATTTTGATAAGAAACAGCGAAAAAAGCTGGGTAATTTTTTTCCATAAGCGCCACCTACTATCATTAAGTGAATCTGTATTTTAATTTAGCCCATCTGCCATTTTTTCCCCACATAGGTCTGAACAGAAAAACTTCATGAGAAAATTGGACCATATTTTTGTGCCAAACATTTATTAGCGTGAACAGAATTTCAGAACTAGCCTTTGAGTTTAAGTCAAGACCAAACCCTCCAAGATCCAGACCAAGACCCTTAAGACCTAGACCTGGACCTAAACTCAGACCAAGACCTGTCCATTTCAACAAACTTATTCAGAAAAACACTGAATTTATTGCAGCATTAATTTCAGAGCCACTTTGTGCAGTTGTGAATTGACTGGTCATGACTGAGACCATTAGCCAAGACCCAGACCAAGAAATTTGGTCCAGACCAAGTTTTGAGCCCCCAACCACAGAACCTAAGTAATAAGACCCAGACCAAATCCAAGTTTACTGGGTTTTGAGGGGACTCTAACTCTGTCAGTATTTCCAGGATATTTTCTTTTAATTATTATTATTATTTTTTATATTTTTGCCTGCTAATGATTTCTGAAAATATAAGAATGCTTGTTTTTAAGGATGTGATGTGCACTGTACTTAAAAGAAGGAAAGTGTTAAAATGTTAGTTATCGCAAATAGACTTCTATAATTTACCACTCTTATAATTTTTTATATATATATATTTTCTAAATGAGCAAGGTATTTTAAAAATGCTAGTCTGCACACTGATTCTCACAGTTTCTGTGAGAAAATACTTGAATCATTTGGACACGTTTTTGGTGACGCAGGACTTAATATAGACCAGGGGTGGGCAAACTTGGCCCTTCCAGGTCACTTTCCTTCAGAGTTTAGCTCCAACTCTAATCAAACACACCTGAACCAGCTAATCATTGTCTTCAAGACCAGTGGTTCCCAACCCTGGTCCCGGAGGCACCCCAACACTGCACGTTTTGCATGTCTCCTTAATCAAACACACCTGATTCAGGTCATCATCTCATTAGTAGAGACTCCAAGACCTGAAACTGGAGTGTCAGAGAAAGGAGACATGCAAAATGTGCAGTGTTGGGGTGCCTCAAGGACCAGGGTTGGGAACCACTGTTCAAGACTACTGGAAAGCTACAGGCAGGTGAGTTTTATCAGGGTTGGATCAAATCTCTGCAGGAAAGTGGCCTGGAAGGGCCAAGTTTGCCCATCACTGATATAGACATTAGTTGACGCAAATTCCTCACAGCCTTATCATTTGCATCAAATTTCAAGGGTCTACCCTGAATTAGGTCCTTTTGTGGAAAAATATTCAGACTTGTAGATCTTATTCCTAAAAGGCCTTTATCTCGCTCTAAAACGGCAGTCTTTGTGGCATCAAGTGATACATTAAATATCTCATAGCAGAATGCAACTCATAATGCAAAATTCATTTGCAATACTGTCCTATGCACAATGCTTTTTTCTTTGTGTTGTTAGAAGCAGGCTAGGCTTATTATCTGTTTTTGAGAGTGGGTGTGTATGTTGAAGCATACCTGATCGGTGCACCAGTACCATGTTGCAAGAATGGTTAATCCCAGTGTCATGCCTGGCCAGGGTAAGTCTCCATGCACAGGGTCTCTGAACAGGTGCATGGCATCAGGCCTGGGCAGGTGACATGTCGTATTTGAGATGATCTTAGACGGCACAGCTTTCAAATACACACTCTCCAGGTTACTGTAGCCTCCAATCTTGTTGAATGCTGTAACATTTGCATAAATACATATCAGCTAAATCTAATTTTTGGGTAATATGTAGAGGTTTAGCATTATTTGTTCTTTGTAGTAATGTCAAAATGACATGACGGAATGTACATTTTAAATGGATTCCAATTAAAAATATTATTTAAATGTCTTTAACTTGTTTAGACTTGTGTGTGTTCATATTTTGTTTGCTTGTATCTGTGTAAGTTTTTTTTATTTCATTTTCGGTTCTTAAAAACCTTTAGAGATGACTTTCTGTAAGTTGTTAAAGACATTATTGGGATTTTCCCCATTTCCACACCTCCATACAAACCAGCTTTGCAGGTTTTAATGTACCCTAACCTGACATGATTCGATAAAACCCTTCTATTGGACTATTATTATTACTATTATTATTTTCTCTGTACTGAACAGCCGTGTTACAGGACATTTCCTTTGTTGCCTGGTTTTTATTTCTGTGACAGCCACAGTGAAATCTGCTCCACATTACATATGTTGTTGTTTTGGCCTTTTTTTTAACTTTCGCTGAGGAAAGACAAATTCCAGGCAACGAATTCCATCAAAAGACAAACGTTCGACCCAAATGTGAATACCGCCAGGGGAATGCAGTTGTTTAGATTAAAGCTCGTTTGCTTTGAATATTAATTTTTGGTGAATATTCTAAATTTTACACTTTTTAAAATAATTCTACAATTATTTTAATTTGTGCATATTTGATTTGTGTTTTAAGTTACCAGGAAAATGAATTTCCAAGGGGGAAAAAAACATTTATAGCAGTCCAATATTGATTCGTTTGTTTATTTGAAAAGTATCCATTTAGAAAATAGATAAATAATTGAACCTCATTTCATTCTCATTTATTTTGTTGTTATCATCTATAGGCATTTTTGCCTATTTCAGCAGGCCACCAGAGGTAATTCAAGGTAAGATTTAGCATTTGATGCTGAAAATATGACATTTCTTTATTGCAATGCCTGAATGTAAACCACATAACCCGGGAAATGTGCCTGCCAAACATGTTCTCGAACAGTCACCATCTGTTTTCGGCACTGCTTTCAAGATGTACTTACTTCCCCCATTGACAGCTGACATGAGATCAGTGCCAGTGGAGAATAAAAGAAGAGGCCTGTGATAGACTGACCTGTAATGGTGAGGATGATCGCTCCAATGATCATGACGAAGGTCTGAAGAGTGTCGGTGTAGATTACAGCAGCCAAGCCACCTGGAGAAACAGAGGACTAAGCGGGTATTGCTCAATTCTCTCATGATGGTTTAATGTGATATGAGTCAATGGGGTCAAGTCTGAATCAGCATTTGTAGACAGAGCAGTGAATACAGTGACAGCAGTGTGGCAGATTAAAGTAATTATGCAATTATGCTGGAATCAGTCATGTAGACCATAATTACTACTGCAGAAATAAACTGAACCACTGGGCTTCGGCGAGAAAGTTTAAATAAGTAGTCATTTAATAGAAGCTTTTATCCAAACAATTGACAGTGCTACTCAAAGCTGTGGTTAAGTACCTTTATAATTTACACTATCCACAACTCAAACCAGGAACATTCCTGTTTCAAGCCCTGAACTTTAACCATTACGCTACCCCATCTTACAGTGCAAGAGGAAACTTCTTTAAGACCACAACTGATTATTGCATCTGCTCACTTGGCTGTAAATCTGTATGCGCAACACTGTCTGACATCAAAAGCTGTGCTTTGTCATGCTACACTGCTGTTTGTTGAAAAAAGAGCTTGTTTAGTGCAAGTGCTAATTATGAAAACTGCTCAGTACTGAAAAATGTAGTGGTACCACTTATTTATTTATTAATCTAGGTTAATGTTAAGTTATAAATATACTGTTGATTCATGTATTATAAATATGTATTATGAACAACTGTTGACATGTTAATTTATACAGCTTGATTAGTATATAAAACGCATTAGTATATGTGGAAATCAACATTAGCCTAGATTAATAAATGCTTTAGAAGTACGTTTACCTAATGCATATATAGACACTACCATTCAAAAGTTTGGGATTAGAAATATTTTTCTGTGAAATGAATACTTTTATTTATCAAGGATGCATCCAATTGATCAAAAATGACAGTTAAGACATTTGCAAATTTCAATTTCAAATAAATGCTGTTCTTATGAACTTTCAATACAACAAAGAATCCTGAAATAAAATGTGTATCAGTTTCCACAACATTCAGCACTAATAATAATAAGAAATGTTTCTTGAATGCCAAATCAACATATTAGAATGATTTCTGAAGGATCATGTGACACTGAGACTGGAGTCATTCAGATTTGCATCCTAGGAATAAATTACATTTTAAATATATTAAAATAGAAAACATTATTTTAAATGTTAATAATATTCCACGATAAGACTTCTTTCAAAAACATTAATAAATGGTACTTTTGAACAGTATATATACAAAATACATACATGCAAATACAAACCTGCAATAGTGTAGAGGGCAGTGACGACCAGCATGAGCACAGTGGAGAGGTAGAGATTCCAGCCCAAACAAACCTGGACAAACAAAGCTCCAGAGTACAGATCTGTCTGCAAAAGATACAGAATTTTAATATCAGGTTGCTTTTTCAGTTATACTGCACATTTTGTCACTGATTTATTTTTTCTCCTAAAATTGCTTGGAGAACAGAAGTACAGTTGATGAGAGTTGTTGACATAAGAGTATATACACTGCAAAAAATGACCGTGAATTTAATGGTAAAAGACTGTAAAAATGCTACAGTAAGAGCCTGTTAAATGGTTAACGGTAAATTCCCCTACTATATACGG